TTCTGTTGCCAGGGACGAAGTTGACTGAGTGCATATTTATAACCTCACGCTGTAAAAAACATTTATTTGAAGACATTTACGCTGCTAAACATATCCAGAGATGTCGATTGCATTCGAGAAGCAACCTCTTCCCTCTCTCTCACTCATGTGTGCATATCAAGAACATGGAGGCTTGTGGTTGCAAGGTTATTAGATAGTCCAAAATGTAATAATTCAGTGAAGAGAGCACAGACTCGCGTGGGTGTGTGTGTGTGTGTGCGTCAGCCAAGTGTGTAAGGGCTTGAAAAGTGTTCTTCACAAATAGAAATGTTAATAACTCACCAAGCAGAGTATATATCAGTTTCCTGTACTAGAGGCAGAAGGGTTAGGGGAGAGGGGTGACAGTGGGAGGGCTACTTGGGGTAATGACAGATACAAAGAGTGTTAAGTTCATACAATAACTGAATCATTGCAGTTCTCTTTTCTCAGTTTGATTCAGTATGCGACTGAAGTCCCATAATGCTATTTATATGTAAGAGCTCTGATTAGAATTAGTCAAAAGAGGTCAAACTCTTGGAGATGTCCATAGTGATGTCACTATGTTCAGGAAGTAAACAAATTCGTCTAATGGAGGTGTTTCTGGCAGGCCAACAAGCAGAGACCCTTAGTCGATTGGTGGGAGTCATAACCACGGACTGACTCAACATTGGTAGGAAAGGAGAAGAAACATGTCAAACATTTTAAAAACGTATTTCCATCGATATTCCAGAGCATGTATAGGATTGAAATGCTTTCCAAACAAGCCGGAGATATGTCGGCACAAATACGGTTGTCTGTTATTGCCTTCTGCTGTCAGTTCCTGTTGGCCGCTGAAATGGGAAATGTCCCTCAAAGATATGAACAGTCATCCAGAAGCATCTCATACGAGCAGTGGTTCAGAATGGAGCACGAGGGCCTTCAGTGTGAACAGCCCTGAGAAAATGTGTGACTGAGCAAGAGAGACTTAAAATGAGAGATCCGTATAAATCATCATCTCAATATCCCCCTGACGAGCCGTGGTCTAGCAGTAAAGCCTCGGCCGGCAATTGCTGAAATTGTTTGTGTGCGAATGTGAGAGGGAGATGCATTCCTCGGGGCCAACTCCGTGCCCCAAGAGCGTTGAGAGAGTGCCCATTTCTCTTTCTGAACCCTCCTTGAAAATAATTGAATTTTGGATGAATCCGCTGAGGAGGAAACACTGTCATGGGCGGAGGAAGTGGATGCTTGAGGAAAAAACAATCAAAGGAATGAGAGGCAGGTGACAGCACCTTTTAGGATGAGCTTTTCTTTAAAGAACGAGATGAGATGCTTGACAGGACAAGTTTTCATTGTCGGATTTTGAACAGATGACAATGTTTTTGTTGGGACATCTAGTATTCATTCATTTGTTAAAGGGGGGGGTCTATTGTGTTCATGATCGTGTGTCTGACAGTTAGACAGCTGCACTGAATCTTTAACAATAATGGATAAACACCTTTTTCATGATTACTGAGCAAAGTGAGTGTTTGACCTTGATAAGCCCTTGGACAGATCACTCATTCAAACAGGTGGCCATCTTCTCAAATACAACAGAAACAGGCACTCAAAGATAAAGCGCAAACTGATGAAGAACACCACTCATCCTGTGTCCTTCTTCAGATGTCACTGGGGATAACCGTTGTTCCGACCACTATGCTAGCCGTTTTTAGTGCAATTAGCGTCACCCTGGTGTAAACAAGGCAGCCATGGGGTTCCTGGCCAACAGCAGTTTGGATGCTCACCACCAGCAACTCAACCGTGGAAATATTTCTCTCTACAAGAAAGTTTAGAAATGGCAGAGCATGCTGAGCTTATAGTTAAGTTACCGTCAGATGGGACTGTGTGAAATGTAGGGAGGAACTCATAATATCCGGGAGAACCATAACAAGAAATGGGAATATGCATCAACAGGTTCGCCATAAATCATGCTGTGATGACAATAAAGTAATGGGGGTTAGGGAGAGTGGTGGAAGTATATAACATCACAGGCGCCTGAGTGAAAGCAGCCATCATGGTTATAAAGTGAACGCATTAAGTGGAGCACTGAAAGGCACCTCAATGCAAATAACAAGCGTATAGACATGTGGCGGGCAATCATGTTTTACAAATGCAAGAGTGCCCGCATCAATACGTGCGCGGCTGCCAGATGAGCTCAACAGCTTTTTAATTCTTGCTTTGATCTCCTCAACAGAGCCGGCCATTAAAGCCTTTCCCTCAGAAGACCTGGCACTTATGCATACAGCGGACATGAGAAGGGTCCTACTGAGAGTGCATTTGAAACCATCAGTGTACCGACAATTTGATCCAGACATTCAGTTAATGTCCTAACAGACGTATTTAAGGCTATAAGGAGCACCTGCTACAAGATACCCAACCTTTTTCATGAGAAGTCAGCAGAGTCATGCCTCAGCAATTACCTACATGTGGCATTCTCCCTCATTCTTGTGATGCGGTTTGAGTTGTGCAGCATGTCACACATACCCAGCTGGACTGCACTTATCTCCACTCAGCTCTCACACCTTAAAAATAACTGCACCCTTTGTCTGAATGTCGCTTGACAAGCTCTGCAGTCTGAGTACCACCTTCATTGGATTTGTATTCTTCCTCGCCAGAAGACCTCTGCCCACAAAATACTATCAAATACAAGAACTGTGAGCCCCTGGTTCCCTGAAACTTCCACAGAGGGGTTGTACATTTATGAGTTTCTGGACTGCATCATCATTATTGTATATTAGGATATCATCCAGTATACATAAATATGAATCAGTCGATTAAAATATGTAATCGCATGATGTCCATAGTTAATCGTGATTAATCGCAAATTAATCGCACATTTTTTATCTGTTCTAGATGTACCTTAGAGGAATATTTTTCAAGTTTTTAATACTCTTATCAACATATGAGTGGACAAATATGCTTTATGCAAATGTTTGTTTATTATCATTGGAACAATGACAAATATTCTCCTGAATATTCTCAACACAACAACCTGGAACCTCTCTCTCTCTCTCTCTTCACTCTCTCCCAACCCTGTCTACTTCTCTGCACTGAGCCAGTTGCTCAAACAGACAAGCCTGTTTACAGTTGTCTGCAAAATGCCGCTCCTCTGTCTTCATAACAGTCAAAGCATGAGACTGAAGTTCCCACTGTGGGTCAAAATAATACGCTGTGATGTGCAGTCAACACGTTGGATACGATCCGAATTATCTAACGCAGCCCCTCGTCCTCCACAATGTTAAGCTGTAGCCCCCCATTTAGCTACCGCTGTTGTTGCCCAGGCGTCTCCCCGGCAAATTTTCAAGCGTGGTCTGCGGCAAGCGAGCGGCAGGAGCGGAGCTGTCGGCATCAGCTGGGTGCTTGGCTTGCTGTTTAAAACACCTTTTTTTGTATCCATATCTCTCGCTAGAATCTCCCACCATCCAACTAACAACAACAACAACAACAACAACGTTAAGCCTTTGGGCTCTGAAACTACGGGGCGGGCCGAGGACAAATACACATGCGTTAATCGCACGTTAAAATAATTAGTGGCGTGAAAAAATGTTTGCGTTAACTTGACAGCCCTAATAAATATATATATATATATTGTTACTATTAAACCATACCCTTAAACCAACTCTTCTCCCTTGCCCATACAACAAAATAAATAACATAACCTGCCTTGGTGGGAGCCAAAAGAAAACAGTGAGAAATAGCTTCTGAAGCCATTTTCCTATTTACGGCTGCACAAAATCCCAAAGCGCAGCGCTGTGTCATGTTTTCATGTGGGATTCTTCAATATATTTAATCCCATAATCCACAATATTCTCTCTCTGCTGCACACATGCAGGCATAGTGTATAATCCGTGTGCCCAACATAATATGACTTACCATATTTGCTCATCAGTAAAGTCTGTATAACAAGAACCTTAATTACCCTACATCGCAAGAGCACGTTGTTGGATAAATTAGAGGTTTACTTTGGTACAGGATATCACTGAACTGGAGGAATACCGAGCAGATCTAGTGATTCAGTGGATTCCTCGAGAAAGACACCATCTTTTGTGCTTATGTTTCCGACTTGCACCCAACAGGGAAAAGCAATTAAAAAGATAAGATTTTTCGTTCGGTGGCGTTTAGCTTTTTCTGAGGTGGCATTGGTTGCAGAGAGCAAGGGCTGACTACAAAGGGCCTTTGACGAGGAGAACACGGCAATGTCGCCATCTCTGGCTAGGGGCCAGTTTCGCATGCCACTGTGAGCGTCTCAAGGGTTATTGTGGTGGCTTTTCAGGGTTTCCTCTCAAAGGGCTTTCTGGTGCGGCTTTGTGGAATCTATGTGAAGCATCTTTGTCGTGACTGAAAGACCAATGGTAGCGCCGACATGGACGCCTGAAATGCCTCTCTTTGACTGTAGCAAGGAGATGTATAGCTTTTAATGTCATTCCCTTCTTCAACTCAAGTACTTCTTGGTTTATTGGGCCATATTTAGTTTTATCCACCTCGCACCTTCACACAGCTGTATATCAACAGAGAGATATCCTGATCTAAGCGAGGACCTGATCGTGTCACGTTGATCGGGAGAGAAGTTGAATCAGTGTTGTAGGTAGTTGACAAAGCTGCATAGCTCAGGTCTGTCTTGATAGAGATGAATCTTGACATTTGTATCATCAACAGCCTCCTCCTGATTATACAGCAAGTCCCCGAAGAGCCGCTGGTATAAATAAAGCAGAGGCAGGTAAACACTTCGGCGAACAGAATTTGCACATAGGGTTGTTGGATCGCTTCCAACTGAACTTAGGTCTTGTAAAAAGTTCTCCAATTATTGGCTCAGAACTTACCGTTTTTTTTATTTTAGCTTTGATCGAGTATCTCTTGCAAGAAATCATTATCTCTCTTTTTTATTTTTGAGGTTTTAGATGGATTGGGAGTATTCACAGACTGTTTGTCGGTGCTGAATAATAAGTCAAGCTTTTGTTTCCTTGTAGGACTGGTAAAAAATGAAAGCTCCCATACCTCTTCTGATCCTGCTTCATGCCGTTGTGGTCCATTGCCTGAAAGTGGTGTCGAAGAGAGGCTCAGGTAAGTCTTTTATTGCCAACAAATTGTCAAATTGTATCTATTTTACTTCAGTGTCCCATTTATAAGGAGCTATATTAATTGATACAGTTGTGAATCTCTTGAACCTGGCAAGATTTCAAGGCTCTTTTTTTAACCTGAAGCACAAATCATGTTCCAGTCAACAGCATGGGATCACATACAAACGGTCACAATTAAAATCAAAGCTGTCCTGTCTTTTAACAGATTGATTTTTAACCCCATAAAAACTTAAAGGAGACCTATTATGCAAAATCCACTTTGTCATGTCTTTTATACATCAACATGTGTCCCCTCTGTTTAAAGAGATTCTGAAAGTTTCAGGAAAAAAATATCATCTTGTTTTCTTATTTTTTGTAGAAGATAATAATAACAGGTGTTTATTTTTCAAGGGTTTTTTTTTTTTAGGAAAAAAGATTCGCTCACTTTCTGCCCTGAACCATTTAAATAAAAACCTGTCTGAAAATGAGCTGATTAGATTTTGGCCACTTTGTGATGTCATAACGATTTTGGCTTGTGTAACCATTAGCCAATCACCAATCAAGGGACCTTTAAATTTGACTTTTGATGATGGACTAGTTTGTGGTTGATCTTTGCCGATCATTTGCATGGTATCATCTTGTTTTCTTATTTTTTGTAGAAGATAATAATAACAGGTGTTTATTTTTCAAGGGTTTACCTTTCATTAAATAATGAGAGATGACAAACCTTTTGCACCTATAATGCACACACTCGAGTGTCAGTGTGTGAGTGAGTACTCTCTGGATCTATGAAGCACTTTGCAACTTGCTTCTGTGGCCTATATCCAAGTATTCACATGGCTGTAGAATTAATACCAATTGACTCTCCATTCCAAAAAGACAATTACTTTCTACAAGAGGATGGATGCAAGCTAGAGGAGAAATCCACACTGGCTAAGATGAAACATAAAGGAAGTATTTTGCATTCTTTTTTCTTTCCAGAGGCTGCTTGCGTCTGGGTTTTTACCCATGCATATTAGACACAGGTGCGGGAATGGCCCAAGGCTCATCAAAGGCTTTTCCAGCAGAAGTCCCTACGGGCTATCTCATCGGATGCTTCACGAGCCATTGCCTGTGGCGAGGATTTGAAATGTGTCCGCTGATAAATGAACACCCGGTCCGAGCCAGACCTCTGTCCTTTGTTCCTTCTTCTTTTAGATTGTACGTCTTTATTGGAAGCCATGCTGGGAGCAAGTGAGAGCACCATTGTTAAAAGGGATTCTGGGCAATGAAAGCCAGTTTTAAATTGCATTGCTTTCATTTATATCGAATGGAAAGAAACAGCGGGGTCAGGAAGGTGCAGATCCCGGTGTCATAGCAGGTACTTATTTCAATGAAACGTTTTCCAGGGTTTAGGGTTCCTTTTATTTATGAGATAAAACCAGTTTCAGTTTCATTCGGTCATATTTTTATTGGAGATTGAAAAAAATAAGATTGATAGTCTCATTTAGCTTTGGCTCTCTGATCACCTGCCATTTTTACTCCACTTCGAAGGGCTTCTTTATGCATGGTCCAAAAATATGTGGCCAATACATCAAAACTCTTAGAAGTTGCTTGCTTTTTATCTTCAATATCTTAAGGAAAATATCACGATCCAATATGAATTTACAAAACAACCTAATGGTTCAATCTATATTAAGACGAACTGAGCTGCTCTAAACTCAGTAAACATGTCCTGTTTTTCATTCTTACTTTTATGAAAAGAATCTCACTGTAAACAGCCCATTAAAGGAAATTAAATATCTTGATTAACTCCCGTAGGAACAATAGATCCACTATCTTACTTGCTTTTCCTTTCACTAGCCATGAACACACACACACACACACGCACACACACACACACACACACACACACACGCACACACACTAACTCCAGAAACCCCTGCACAGTGCTGCATGTGCACTGCTATTATCTGTAGATGATTAAATTCAAAACACCCGTCTCTGAGTAATGCTTTGTCTGCATTTGTACTCGAGGTGGATCAGTGCAAAAACATACAATGCATATCTGCCATACTAATCCTCAGCATGCATAAGTAGGAGAACATATCCATTTGTCCTCTGCTGTGGTTCCTCTTTGTAACAATGCTGAGACGGCCTGAACGCTTGAGTGAACAGAATAGTAATTACGTATAGTTTTCGCTTAATACAGCACATCAAGCCGGATGTTGAAGTAAAACCCGGCTCTTGGATTGTCAGTGATGTTAAAACCTACGCTGCCCAATTCATTCCAGGAGATGATTCTTGTTTGAACTCCACCACATGTTGTGGCTTCATTTTCTGTGGAGAAATGTTTTTACGATCTGAAAAATGTCTCCCTGGTCCAAATGTTGTTAAAGTGAGGCCTTCGATAGATTTGATTTGATATGTCATTTAAGAGATGTTCTCCTATTCTACAATAGTTTAAGGTCACTGTAATTGTGCTTAAATGCTCTGTCTGTGCATAATACAGGGTGCGTACGGGTGCTGGAAATCCTTGAAAATGCTTGAAATTGTACGAGGTGTTTTCAAGGTTTGAAAAGTGCTTGAATTTTGGGAATGGTGCTTGAATTTGGGATAAAGTGCTTGAAATTGTAAAGGCTTTAATTCGCTTTTTAGATTAAAAGAAAATAAAGAAGTCGGAGCGCGCTTAATTGCTTCGCTTTTACATAAAACAGCTCCGCTCCGGCCTTCCCGCGCAATGCGCATGACCGGCAAGTGTTTTTGTTACGTGTGTGAGTGACCTGGGCATTCTGATGAGAGTGATAGATGACAGTATGCCAGGAGGTTGCCGTTTCAACGAGCGTTGGCTAGCAGAAGACAAATACAAGCCATGGCTAAGACGAGGGTCAAGCGAAGCCCAAGAGTAGCCTCCTGCAAAGTGTGCAACAATAACGATGCGAGAGTCTGCGCTGACACAACACACCACACGAAAGGTACGCCACAGTAGAGCATTTTAGATTAGGCTATCGTTGCATGTAAAATACATGACACTTTTCTCTGTGCGCGGCAAAACAAGCTCGCCAAAATGGCTTCACTATTCTGGCAGTATTTTAAGTGTCCGAAAATGACAATAAAATAGCGGTATGCAACGTGTGTGTGAAGCAGAAATCCTGCAGCTCCACCCGCTGTGACGGACCGGTGAGCGGAGCAGAACACACATTAAGAGTTAGACCTAACACACTTAGCTATTTTATCTACCTCTGGAATAAGCTAAACTAGTTATAAATATATTTATTCTTCACTGTCGGGTCGCTCATTACTGGATCAGTGAGCTGCATGAGATACTGACGGGCTGTCAGGAGAGAGAGAGAGGGGGAGAGAGGAAAAGAGAGCGATATCGGTATCGGCCGATACTGATTCCGGCGATCGGCTCCAAAATTGGCGATCGGAGCATCCCTAATAATTGTATATGATATGTTTTATAATGATTGATCATGAAAGTGTTCTCAAAGCTGGTAAAGGTGCAGCTAGTTTGAATGACTTTGTATACTGCAGGGTAGCTTGTGAATTTACTCCAGGTGGAACTGAAGTCTGATTTAACACTTGATTATATTTCACATCATTCATCCACATCTGTGAAGTAACTAAAGGTATTAAATACATGTAGTGGAGTCAAAGTACACCATTTACCTCTGACTTGTGTTTACTGCCAACCTAAAAGTACCTCAAAAATAGTAATCAATAATATATTGAAAAGTTATTTGGCTGATTGTTTTATATTGGCTCAGCCAGGTTATATCGGATGCCCAGTCTACGTACAGATGGGTCACTCATTTTGAAATATTAAACTTAGTTTTCTTTTCTAACATTTTTAATTTTTCATCGTCATGTAGAATGCTATTATGAAACACACATTTAGTTGTTTATAGCATAAAGAACATCTGATTTAATGTGAGGTAGGGAAATAATCATTTGAGTATAAGTATGTGTATATAAATATGTAATTTACAACAGCTGTAAGATGCTTGAAAAGCTTGAAAATGCACCTTGAAAATGCTTGAAAAGTGCTTGAATTTGACTTTGGAAAAGGTGTAAGAACCCTGATAATATGTCCCGCAATAAGCCCATAAATGCACAGATCCTTACATGTTCCAGTGTTTGTAAGATGACTGGAAGGAGCTTGTGGCATGCCCAGTAGAATCTGTTAAGAAGGGACACAACTCCTGTCAAAGTGGCCTTTAGAAAGACGCTAAACAATGACTCGCTTCTTTCTATAGCGCAATGCCAGACCCTTTTGGTCATTTCTGGCAGCTTCCTCCAATAAACCAAGATATTTTCACATTTTACATATCGAGAAAATGAGCACTGACTAATTAGGTTGTAGGGTCACAGCCTGCTGAAATCCTTAATTTACCCTTAACTCATCAATTATTAGGTAAGAGCTAAACTGTTGACATTGAAAGCATGAAGAAATGATATTGTGGAGGTTTTGACGATGTATGTTTGGTCACTTTTGAATAATAGAAAAGGGGAAAAAGAGTATTTCTGTTGCACTTGGTATTCCTGGTTCTGTCGCTGTTATTGTCTTAAACACACAATCGGCTCCCTTGTTGGCCACACTATACAATAGATGCTTGGAAGAGCTCACTAAGGAATCCCTCAAACTGCCCGTTTGCTTACTTGGCAGTGAGCTGAGGAGAGCAGAATCCTCTTTCTGTGCACCACACAGCTGCATTTAATTTAATATAAAATAGAAACGGCAGAGTTCATGCGAGGTCTCACTTTTGACTCCTTTTGAAGTAATAACTATGCATTTATTCTTCTTCTCACCTCTGAACATGGATTAAAATCACAGTGAGAGAGAGCTTTGGATAATAAAGATGAATTTTGAAAGACCTGGACACAGAACGGTATAAAAAGGGGCATGAGAACACATTGCTGAAGAAACTGACATTTTCTCTAATACTGTAGTCGTTTTCAAATGTATTTAATGTGCTTAGTATTCATGTGCATTACGTCGTGAACCCTGCAATGCTTCTTATC